AGAAACTCAAAACTTAATGACTGTTTGAGACTTACTCACTGAATATGTATTGCATTTTAAGAACCTGACTAATGCATCTTATGAACTTTCAAGAAACAAATTTTTAGAAACATTTATCTTAAGTTCACTTACAAACTATTTAAAAATACATAAAAGATCCCAGATAAATGAAAAGTAGTTTCTCAAGGTAAAATCTCATATCTGTTTCACAAGTATTTGTTGAATTAGCTTGTTGTTTTTTTGGTGATGTAGCTGGGAACGGCGGGTTGACAACATGGGACGTATTTATTATGTTGACCATTTCACAAGAACAACAACATGGCAGAGACCAACACTGGAATCTGTCCGGAACTATGAACAATGGCAGCTACAACGTAGTCAGCTTCAAGGAGCAATGCAGCAGTTTAACCAGAGATTCATTTATGGGGTGAGCAGCCTATTGTTTAATAAACTAATAAAAGTATTTTGTTTCTAGCTTTTTTCAGCATATGTCATGTAAAGCACTAAAAAGAAGGTGCAAGTAGCATGGCAAACCAGTTGTTGCTGTTAGTAGGTATTATTTTTAGACCTTGTCTGGGGTATTCTGTGTGTGATCTATTTTTTCCCTTTTGTAATTCGCTTAAGTCCAACTTCCTTTTTTTTTTAAATGTTAAAAATAAGCAAAAAAGAAGTTAGACAACTAAAAATTCATGAACAAAAGAATAGTAAAAATAAACCCAAGCAGTTTGAAAATAATTAAAACATTTTTAAATTTACTACTGCCTTGACTTGCCAAAACATTTGAAGACTTGGGTCTGAGAGCATCTGACCCTAAAGTGGTTGTACAGAACTGATAGAATTTAACCACTTTTTACCATTTGGAGGTAAGGCTTACCTATTAAATTATTTGGTGCCCTGGGAGACTGAAGAAATTTGATGCTTTATAGGAGTATGCTTACTATATTATTCTGGCTTCATACCTATATTTTCTTTGATGTAAAATCATTTCCCTTCTGGAAACAAATGGTTTAAATTTTACGTATTTTCCTGTAGAGCAATATTGCAGTAATAGTGTAAGTACACCAAAATATATTAATGCCTCCTTTTCTATGCAGTCTTTGCTGCTAGGAATTTTATAATCTCTCAAGTCATACAGTATCACTGATCTTTTCTGTGGAGGGAAAGGAAAATAATCCGTTGAGAAATTTGATTCTCTGTGCCAAACAAGATGGATTTGTTATATAGAACCTAAACAGAAGAAAACAAAATCTTTAAGAGCTCAGGAGAAAACGCCCCCCCCATCCCCCCCCCCCCCCCCCCCCCACTGCCATTGGTATCATCCCTGTTAGAATTTATCAGAGTAAAACTGCACCTTTCATATTCCTGTCCTCACTAGGCATAATTTTATCCCTTTTCTCCATATTCCTGTCTATTCCTGATACCTCATCATCATAATAGTTAGCACTCACTGATGTAGACAAATTCACCTTTATCAGCAGCCTTCCCTTGTTTCCCTGATTATGACTAAGGTGCTTTTCTTTCATATAACAATTTTTCCTGTCACTGTCTCTAAACAGATGTTACTATATTTTCCTTCCCAGTGGTTTTAAGGTGAAATTAATTTTGTCTCCTGTCTGCCTTACCCTTCTTTTCATTTTTTTTTTTTTCCTATGCTGTTTTACATCTTCCTTCCTATCTAAATTATAATCACCTGTGGTATGCCTGGCCAAATTTCTTCTAGGTTTGAATGCCTAGCTTGCCTGCCTTCTTTAAAACTAGTTTCCACATGGGTGTCCAGTGGAAAGAGCATGGGCTTTGGAGTCAGACACATCTGGGTTCGAATCCTGGTTCCACAGTTACTTTCTCTATATGACTTTGAGTAAGTTACTTAACCTCATCAAGACTCATTTCCTTTATCTGTAAAATAAATGTAGTTATAAAACTGCCTCAGAGTTTTTCTGAGGATTCTTTAATAAAGTTCCAATATAGTTGGCACATACTGAATGCTTAGAAATGTTAGTTCCCATCTCTTCTCCTTCATATTCATCTCTGTATATGTACCCTTTATCTCATTTTTGCATTACACAGTCTTTCAAAACATTCCTTTAAAAGACAGATTTAGCAGATTTCTGGAGCATGTACTGTATGTATTGACTATTATAAACCTGATCGATTTAGTACTCAGAGTCTTTGGAATTTTTTTTTTTTTTTTTTGAGACGGAGTTTCACTTATATTACCCAGGCTGGAGTGCAATGGCGCGATCTCGGCTCACCGCAACCTCCGCCTCCTGGGTTCAGGCAATTCTCCTGCCTCAGCCTCCTGAGTAGCTGGGATTACAGGCACGCGCCACCATGCCCAGCTAATTTTTTGTATTTTTAGTAGAGACGGGGTTTCACCATGTTGACCGGGATGGTCTCGATCTCTTGACCTCGTGATCCACCCGCCTCAGCCTCCCAAAGTGCTGGGATTACAGGCTTGAGCCACCGCGCCCGGCCATTTTTTTTTTTTTTTTAAGTACAGCTTCTCCTTCATCATCATGCTTCCCTCCCCGCCCCCCAATCCAACAAAATTTGATCACTTTTCTGAAATTTTTACTCTTTGTGCTTGTTGTAGAGTGGTTTGAAATTACATAGAATTTAAACAGCCTATTTTAGTTAACATAGACAAAGATGTAAGCTAAAGTGAATGAATTTAACATCCTTAATAACATTTACTTTAAAAATGATGGGGTGTTGTTGAGAAATAGTCTTGTTTATTGGATATATGAAGTGGCCTTTGTCTACCATTGTTGTTCTTACTAGCATGCAGAAGCTGTCATACACCCAGCATTTTAAGTCTCAGGATGGATATGGTTGATGATAAAACACTGGGTAATGGCTCTTCCTGGCCCATGGCATAATTGTGCATGTCCCCAGTTTTATCTGTCCAGGGAAAGCCAGCGGGGTAGACTTCAGTCTTAAAATGGTCAGTACAGTATGTCATGTGCCAAACTTTTCAGACCTTGTCTGTAACTTGGACTCAGACTTTTGTAGTGTTTCTGGCAGGCCTCCCTATTCTCACATTTTTTCATAATTGTGTCTATCAGGAGGAGCCAGGCAGTTCTCAACAGCACTAAATCCAAGAGTTACTTTATCAGAAGTGTAATATATCTCATGTCCTTTAAAACCTCATCAATCAACCAGGTTTCTGTAATAGGCCAGTGACACGGGGTTGCGGGGGTAAAGAAACAAAAAGAGATAGCAGGGGAGCTGCTCTATATTGCGACTAATGTAACATGAGGACTATTTTTGGATCCTGATTTTAACAGTCATGCATTTAATTACAGATTAGGTATTAGATGATAAAATTAACATTGATTCTTTACTACATGTGATAATGAGATTGTGATTATGTAAGAAAATGTCCAGAGATTTTAGAGAGGCGTACTAAATATGTAGGAGTGAAATAATGTTTGATTTTCACTTTAACAAAGAACAGGAGGAAAGAGATAAAGAAATTTGGCTAAGTCTTAATACGGGTTGAATCCTGGTGCTGGGTATATGGGATTCATTGGACTATTTTACTTGTTTTTTTCTTCCCCATAGTATAATTATTTTTAATGCAGTTAGACTCTTGTTTATTTTACTAAAGAAGAAAGGGTTTAACCAAGTCATACTGGGTGACCACATAATTATCTCTACTTGATTATATATACACTTAATGTCCCTACACCGAGTCAGTATGACTTTTGTTCTCTTTTTCCAAAGGTTAACTCTTACTTTGCTTTTATCTAGCCAAATCTTTCTCTTCACCAATGTGATAATTAGAAACTTTTGAGAAATCTTCCATACAGTTCTAGGCTCATTAACCCTTTCCAGCTGGAATCCTATCCTTTCACTCATCTGGCAGCTTGATCTTCCTGCTCCCCCAACTCTCTTCTCATAATTCTTTGTATATTACATGTCCTGTATTTGATGTTCTGTTTTTGAGTTACGTATGCAAGATTTTTCTCAGTCATCTGATGACTCTGGGTACTAGTATTATAAATGACTTTTGAGGGGGTTTATATATTTTTCTAATTTTTATATTATTGATGTAAAATTTGTAGCACAAATGAAAAAATGGTCATTCTGGGGATGAGGATTACAGATTTGTGTCATATTTTAATTTTAAATAATTTTAAATGTTAGATAATGTTTGCACATGTTTTTAAAAAACTAAAGTATATTGGCATTTATCCATAACCATGTGACAATTCTTTAAGATGCAAACTTTCTATGTTATACATGGCCAGGGAAGGGAAATCAGAACTTACAAGCTTGCTGTCAGATAATTTGTTAAGTTATTAATAGTTTCATCACTTTTTGGTTCCTTTTAGAATCAAGATTTATTTGCTACATCACAAAATAAAGAATTTGATCCTCTTGGTCCATTGCCACCTGGATGGGGTAAGTCACATGAGTTTCTTCATTGAATTCGGTCATTTCATTTTTTTTTTTTTCTTCTTCCAATTCTGTCATTTTAAAAATCAGACATTTATGTCTGATACTGTGCTCTTGCTTGAGTGAATATCTTGGAAGTTATTTTTGGATATGTTAGTTTAATTCACAAATAGGCATTAAATTCACCAAACATTAAGTGAACTCTTTATAAACTTTGATTGATACTCAGAATTATTTTACTCTTCTAAAGTTTAAAAATACTGATCACCCAGCAATAAGAAAGGAGTAGACTATTGATATACACAGTAGATCTGGGTGGTCTTGAGTATTTTGCTTGATGAAGAAAGTCAGTCTCAAAAGGTCACATCCTGTCTGATTCAATTCATATAACAAAGCTAGAGATGGAGAACATATTAGTACTTGTCAGGAAACAGGGTAGTTAGGAGGTGGATACAAATATAAAAGGTAACATAAGGGGGTTGTTATGTGATGATGGAATAATTCTGTATCTTAAGTTTGGTGATAGGTGATTGCATAAACGTATACATGAGATAGTACATAGAACTATACATTTACAGAAATGAATTCAGTTTTTTAAAATGGTGACAGTTTAACAAGGCTTGTGGTTAACAATAATGTACCAAAACCACTGCTGTGGTTTTGATACTGTACTGTAGCTATATAAGATGTCACCTCTGGGCTGGGCGCGGTGGCTCACGCCTGTAATCCCAGCACTTTGGGAGGCCAAGGCGGGTGGATCACGAGGTCAAGAGATCGAGACCATCCTGGTCAACATGGTGAAACCCCGTCTCTACTAAAAATACAAAAATTAGCTGGGCATGGTGGCGTGTGCTTGTAATCCCAGCTACTCAGGAGGCTGAGGCAGGAGAATTGCCTGAACCCAGGAGGTGGAGGTTGCGGTGAGCCGAGATTGCGCCATTGCACTCCAGCCTGGGTAACAAGAGCGAAACTCCGTCTCAAAAAAAAAAAAAAAAAAAAAAAAGTCACCTCTGGAGAAAATGATTTGAAGTGTATGTGAGACTCTTCGTGCAATTTTTACCACATCCTATGAGTAATAATTAATTCAAGATAAAAAGATTTTTGAAAAATTGTGAGTACCTTGGTTCTCCTAAAACAAGGTTCAGAGTTTAGTTAAGTTGGCATTATCTGACAGAACAGTGGAAGGAGTACATGAAGGTGTCGAATTCATGCCCTACACCATGGAGCTTATGAGCAAGTTCTGTTATTGTGTATATTTGATACCTTAGTTATTAAAATAGACCTTAATAGACTTTAAGCTAGACCTACCCTACTAGATTCTATTTTACAATGTTATGTGATACTCATCACATTGTAGCAAGGTTTCAGAATAAAGATGGCAGTCTAGAAAGTTTTGCATTAAAGCAAGAGAATTTATTAATAGAAAGTGGAAAACAAGATAAAGCCCATTGTGGAAACAGAGTTTTGTCTTCAAGAGCTGAAGATATTTCATAATACTGGGATAAATTCAGAAAGTGGTATTTCTAGATAGTCTTGCTGGGAAAAATTGGTCTCCAAGGTAGATTGCTCTAGCATTACAGAGTAATGGGGAAAAATATTGATGTGTCAAGATCACATGAATCTGCCTAATAAATGCTGCTGTGGTATACGCTTTTCTTTGAGAAATCTCATTGCTCTTATTTAAAGGTATCCTGAAAACACTTTGGTGGGTCAAAAAGGTAAAAAATGTATTAGGCCATACTTACAACTGGTATTGTTATTAGCTTATAACAATGGGAGGACATATGAAAGTTGTGGGCCAAGTGCAGTGACTTACACTTATAATCCTAATACTTTGGGAGGTTGAGGCAGGTGGATTTCTTGAGTTCAGGAGTTCAAGACCAGCCTAGGCAACACGATGAAACCTTATCTCTACTAAAAAAAAAAATTAGCCAGGCATGGTGGTGCTTACCTATAGTCCCAGCTACTTGGAAGGCTGAGGATCACCTGAGCCTGGGAGTTTGAGACTTCAGTGAGCCGAGGTCACGCTGTTGCGCTCCAGCCCGCGTGACAAAGCAAGACCCTGTCTCAAAAAAAAAGAAAGTAAATTTTGAATTTCTGTCTTTACCAAAGCCTGGCAGTCTGGAGTTAAGAAGCCCTCTGTCTCTATCGAAGCCTAAGAGTGATCGATGAATGGTTAGTATGAAGTACTTTAGAAGAGAGGATGTTGTCCTTAAAAGGCATATTGAACTTTACCTGTCAGATTGCATTCCCAGACATGGATGGTTTCATTTCTAGAGTTTCCCGGCTTTATTTCTAGAGTTGTATGTCTTATGTTACAGAAGGAGAAAAAAATCATGCACTAAAAAGATATATCAGAAGTTCATGTATTTATCCTCTTAATTGTATTGCAGGCCAGGCATAGGGGCTCACACCTGTAATCTCAGCACTTTGGAAGGCCAAAGCGGGAGGATTGCTTGAGCTCAGAAGTTGGAGACCAGCCTGGGCAACGTGGCGAAAATCTGTCTCTGTAAAAAAAAAAAATACAAAAACTAATCTGGGTGTGGTGGAACACCTCTGTAATCCCAGCTACTTGGGAGGCTGAGGTGGGAGGATCACCTGAGCCTGGGAAGTCAAGGCTGCAGTAAGCCAAGTTTGTGCCACTGTGCTTCTGCCTGGGCAACAGAGTGAGACCCTGTCTCAAAAAAGAAAAAAAAAGTTGTAGATAAACTATGACCTGCTTCATGGTTATGGTGAGAAACAAGCCATTTTACTCCTTCTATAGGACAGGTGTAGAAAAAAATGCCTCTTGCTTATAGAAACCTGAGTTGTGGGCTACATTTCCTTTATTAGAAAAGCCTCTTCTGCAAGCTGGTCCTTGCTTTCTTTATTCATCATTTTCTTTATCATCCAGATCTTTCTCATTTTTACTTTAGCCAACAACACTTTGCTAAAATACTGTGTCTAAAGATCCAACTTAGCCAGGTTATTAGGGTTTTGTTCTGCCATTTTACAGTCTGCTTATTTTTAGGTTTCACATTCCTCATGTTGAAGTAGTTCTCTTTCCTAAAGGAGTTTGTGATTATCTTACTGAAACTGAGCACTGCTTTATGACTCGCTGCCTTTGGGGTATGTGCCTTACTTGTAGAACTAGTGACAATACTGGTGGTACTGTATCAGATGAAGCAACCCACCCAAGATACCTTCAGGGTTGACCCAGGATGTTAGCATCCCAGCTTACAGCCTGCGCCCTTTCAGACTTTTGTGTGCTAGGACTAGACATTACTATCTCATAAGCTGACAGTGAAGAATTTGTTTGTTTTTTTTAGAGCTAGGGGTCTCCCTGTGTTGCCCGGGCTGGAGTGCAATGGCTATACTCTGGCACAGTAGTTGCACACTGCAGCTTTGAACTCCTGGCATCAAGTGATTTTCTTACCTCGCTTGAGTAGCTGAAATTCCTGAGTAGCTGGAATTACAGTTGTGTGCCCCCATGCCTAGCTAGGCAGTGAAGAATTTTTAACATATACACATACTGTAGAGGCTAGAGAACAAAGAATGCTTTTGGTTCACCATTGTTACTTAATAGGGCTTTGTATAGATGCTTCATCCATCAAGTATGAAGATATTTTCTCATGTTCATAGTTACTGTGAAAGAATGCATAGAATGACAAGAAGTTTCTGTTTTTTACTGTTTTATTCATCAAATCAGGAAGTGTTGTAATGTGCATTTGGAGTTGATGTTCAGTAATTTCAGTATTGTTTATCATGTGATTTTTCAACAAAGTAAGAAATCAGCTCTATAACCACAGCACTTCCTCTCATTAAGTGAATGAGCCTTCAGTTCACAAGTGTGTCAAAGCTGATCTCAGCAGCATATACTTAGAATATACGTGAGAAAAAAAGTTTGTTATTAATTTTCTCTTGCCTAATGTTAGCTTCTGAAAGGAAAATCTTGCCCTGAAATCTGAAATTTCCTGACAGATAAAAGATGAATGGCCATTACAGTGGCTCATGCCTCTAATCCCAGTACTTTGGGAGGCCAAGGCTTGTGTTCAGGAATTTGAGATCAGGCTGGGCAACATGGTGAAACCCCATCTTTACAAAAAATAGAAAAATTAGCTAGGTGTGGTGGTGCATGCCTATAGTTCTGCTACTTGAGTGGCTGAAGTGGGAGGATCGCTTGAGCCTGAGAGGTCAGGCCTGTAGTGAGCTGTGATTGCTCACTGCACTCCAGCCTGGGCGACAGAGCAAGACTATTTCAAAAAAAAAAGAAAAAAGTTGAACATATGCTCAGCTATGTAGTTAGAGTATTATTTTTAGGTTATAAAAATTATTTGGATATATATTTTTAAACAAGAAAGGATTCTGGGGCCGGGCGCGGTGGCTCACGCCTGTAATCCCAGCACTTTGGGAGGCCGAGGCAGGTGGATCACAAGGTCAAGAGATCGAGACCATTCTGGTCAACATGGTGAAACCCCGTCTCTACTAAAAATACAAAAAATCAGCTGGGCATGGTGGCACGTGCCTGTAATCCCAGCTTCTCAGGAGGCTGAGGCAGGAGAATTGCCTGAACC